AGCAGCAGCAGCAGCAGCAAGCGCAGCAGCAGCAGCAACAGCAGCGCCTAGGCTGTAGGACAGTATCTTTCTTCCACGCAGGAGGTCCGGCCAACAGTGCTTGGACTTGAGGAGACGTCGCCGGTGATGCACCGCGCTCACAGTGCATGATGCTTTGATGCAGGCCCGTCGCCAAACTTCACGGAAACTACTTCCTATGTAATCCCAATAATTAGAATATATTCCCTTCCTTACCCACCCCCCCCCCGTAAGCAAAGGGTTTTTGGGCCGATGGAGTTGGTGCTGGGCGTTTCAGGTCTTCGACACCCTGCAAAATTAGGCAAGAACGAGTGTACAGGGTTGGCGAAGTGCTGAAAATCCTCAGGTCGGGAACGAACGCTGTGGACACCGAGAAGATATCAGAACCTGAGCCGTTCTCAGGAAGAATTTCTTTTGCCCTGGAGACAAACAGAAAGGGCCAACGCCAAAGGAACGTAGATTTGCCTGCGATTCTTGGGGTTCTTTTGCGGTTCAGGTTCAGCTTGGGGGATATCCGAATCCATACCATAGGGCTGTAACCCCGGGCATGGAAAACCAACTTAGAACCTGGGAATACCTTATAGCCTCATATGCCATTTGAGCTAACAAAACCACAGAGGACGAGCAGCACGGCGTGGCAAGTGAGATGATAGAGACAAAGCTATGGAGTCTCGGCCGCGCAGAATCTGTGGGCCCGTCTTGGGGGAACCTGTAGCTGAACCTTGGACATCCTTCGTTTTTGGAAGATGCTCAGAAAATGTAGGACAGGACCTCTACAAAGGAGCGACGTACAGTGTCCAGGTAGCGTGTGATTTTCAGGTTGTGGGAAGGTTGCTGTTGCAACATTTCCAAGCACAGCACCTTGGGCCAATTGCCATCTCTTGCTTTCAGCGAGCCATTTGCTCTCGTTGTGGTAGCTTTGTCCAACAAAGGTGAGGATGCGGAGTCTCAGTATAGCCTCTGCAGCTGGGGCCTCCCTTGCATGTTCTCCTGGCGGGAAGCACGCTGCGGAACCACTGGACATTTCGTGCGGTCTCCATCTGGAGTGGGCACTGCCTGCGGAACCTGGTGTGCTTTGACACTGATGGGCAGTCATTCTTGGCTTGGTTTCCTGAGAGCACTCTCTATGCCTTCCCCTGGTATTGATTGTGAAACGAGATGGAGGCAGGAGCAGCCCCAGACAGTCTAGGCAACTTTGCCAAAAGGACTATGGTAGAATGCTGTGTGAACGTCATCTCTGACGTGGGCTTTCTGTGAGGGAGCAGCGGCAGCCAGACATCGTTTGACAAAACAGGTCCGGGGGGTTCGAAAAAACGACATTCTAGCTACCGAGATCTGGGCCTTTTGCAAAAGGTGTTGATTCTACAAGGGCTTGGTTGTACACTCATGTCCCCTTTGTCCATATCTTTCGGTATGACGCCGTGCACGGCGGGCTGATGCGATGAGGCTGTGCCTGAAGGGACGCGCGGCTTCATTCATGTGGCCAACTCAGCATCTCAAGTGGTTGAATCAGGTTGCTTTTGGAAAACTTCAATTGAGCTAACGTCGCAGGAATTCCAATCATGTATTATATATGCCTTTCCGTGAGAACTGAAACCAATTTCTTAGCAGCAGGCCAGTCCAAAGTGGTTCCATGGAGTCTTGCAGGGAATTTGGAGGGTGAAAGAGTAACTCAATACTCGCGATAAATGCAGAGCCTGAATAACAACCAACTCTTCTTCCCTGACAGTGCAGTTTCAGAATAGTAGAACGTACACCAAAGCCTGGTTGTACTGTTGAGGGTTGTGCAGTAGTCTTTGTTGTACTTCTAGTAGGAGCAAGAGTCAGGGGCGTTGGAATCAGGTTCACGGGAAATTCCAGATCACAAGCCCTAAACCCTAAACCCTATCCCCCATGTAAGCCTTGTCTATGCCTCCAAGTCTCCCAGCGTAAGCCATACATAAGCCTGTAAGGGTACCCACCTTTGGAAACTTCATACCTGACAGCTCTTCTAAACCCTGACCGTATACAGTAGTTTCAATAAACAGGGGTCCTGAACAGAGATCAGAACATATTACAAGCCTCAGGATGGCGACACCAAAAAGAGCCACTATTTTCAGAAAAATCCATACATACCTATATAGCACACATAACCCAACCAAGATGCCTGTCACCAGGTCAGACGCTGTTTTTCAAGGTTTCCAAAAATGTGTGTCCCTTTGTCGGGGGCGATTATGATCGAGACTAGAGTATGCTTAGGGATACAAAGGAAGACCCGAACTTTCTGGAAACTACAACAAGTCCCACACCCTGTGAGAGCATGAGTTGAGCCCATCACCCTAAACCTCCTTGGATTTCATTGGACAGACTGAGATTCTTAAAGTTCAGGGCGTGCAATTTTCTCTATGAGCCTGACATTCTTACAGATAATCTTCTAATCCTTTTTCCCAAACTTGCAGGAAATGCAAGCCTGCAAGACCTGTGAGTCCTGTATATGCAAGAACCTTGAATATACAGAGTGTCATAGTCCCTGCGTGATTCCCGTGTATTCCTGCCATCTGCGAGCAACCCTCACAACCCCCCCTGGTCCCAGCCGCAAACTCCCTTGGCACAGCCCTGGCTGCTTGAAGGCCTGGGCAAGAGCGGGCTGCGGAGGATTGTTGGGTTTAGGGTTTAGGGTTTAGGGTTCCATGCTGCTGGGTCCCCAAAATAGGCTCATTCAGGGTGGTTTCATGGTGGTATTGCAGGGGCGCAGTGAACTCACGCTTTTCTGGACTGGCTTGTGCCTGGTTCTGAGGATGAACATTTTGGGGAGCTTTCCATTCATGACATGGAGCTCTTAAAGTGCGAGTTCTAGCGGGGTCCAAGAATCAGCTAGCTTTGTTTTTGTTGGAGGGGGTTAGCTTTGGAAAGCATTTACATATTGCTCAGGCCATGAAATCCTAAACCCTGGCCCCAAACGCTGAACCCTACACCCTAGGCCCTAAACCTTCATTAACCCTAAACTTTTTAACCCTAAGATCTCAACCCTGGGCCCTAAAACCCTAAACCCTTAGCCGTAAAGTTAACCCTACACGCGAAACCCTAAGCTTCTAACCGCGCCTGCCTGCGTGCGATGCGGTGCCTGAGCCTCTTTTGCGGGCCTTTGGTTAGCTAGGAATGCAGGAACGGATCCTTACAGTAGTCCCTACATAACCCATTATAGTAGTTTCCCTTTTTTCTTTTCCATTCCTACCCTAACCCCTAAACCCTAAACCCACTATGGTAGTTTCCATGTTCTTTTCCATTCCTTCATTCCCAGCTAACTAAAGCTAAGTCGCTAAGTCTTTCGAGGGCATTTGGGATGAAAGGAACACCTCTCGAAGGCCCTGAAGCCGCAGCCTCAGGCATGCTGCGTTGTTTGGGAACTACATTGGGTTATGTAGGGATGTTAGGATTTTTAATAGGGTTATATAGGTTTCTATAGGATTATGTAGGGATTCTATAAAGATCATATAGGCTTCTATAGGCTTATGTAGGGATTTTACAGGTTTTTATAGCTTTCTATGGGCTTATGTAGATTCTGCCAAGATTAGGGGTTCCCTTTTAAGGGGGGAATATGGGTTTTATAGGGGTGTATGGGGGTTAGGGATTTGGGTTCAGGGGGGTTCTGTTTTGGATCCCCTTTGCTATTTTGGGAAACTGCCATATAGGGTGAGGTAAGGATTCTACAGCGCTACGTAGGGATTCTTTAGTGTTCTGTAGGGTTTGTATAGCTTTTTAGGGATTGTGTGGATCTATAGGGTCATAAAGGGCGTCTAAAGGGTTATAGGCTAGAGGGTTCACATAGGGTTACCTTGGGGGTTCTACAGGGTTTTTCTAGGGATGGTATAGGGTTATGTAGAGATTCTGTTGGCTACGTGGGATTATAAGTTTTAGGTGTGGGGCTTAGGGTTTAGGGCTGTCGGCTAGGGACTTAGGGTTAGGGCCTAGGGCGTAGGGCTTATGGAGGGCAGGCTAGGCTTTTAGGGTTTAGGGTTTAGGGTAATTTATGACGCATGGATGGGTACATCAAAGAGCACTCTCCCTTCTGGAGCGTCCTTTTAAATGCTCTTGGATTCTGTCTAGGCTAGCTCGACGTTCCTAAGTTTCGGGAGGGTTTAGGGTTTTCGCAGTGCTTCGCAAGCGGAACAATTGCTAGGGTTTAGGGTTCAGGATATCAGGTATATAGGGTGGTGCCAGATTTCCCACTCCCACAGACCCACGGTAGGATGCCCCGTTTGAAGAAACCCCCAAGTCTAGCCAATTGCGCCCAGACCGATCCCCCCCGTCATCCCAAGTTGAAGGGAAGGGTTACTCCAAGTACGCGTCTGATGACGAAGGTGGATAAGTTCCTGGATAAGCTGCCCATACTTTTGGGGGGAGCTAAGGAGCTAGGGATAGTTTATATCAATATAATAAGGGGAGCTAAAGAGCCCAGGAATCTCCAAAACCAGAGGGGAGTAAGAGAGTTTCACCTCCCAAGTTCTATTTTTTGGAGACGCCAGGCCTAGTCAGGAAACATGATGAGTGGATTTTGCCAAAGGATCCAACCCCGTATCGACATAGTCTACATCATATCCCCTCAAAATATTCAGGGTATATAGGGCTTAGGGATGTGTAGGGTACAGTAGCCTATCTACCCATTGTTTTGGACTTAAAGGCTCTGAGTTTGGATATTTGAATATTTGAGAGGTCCGGGAAAAAGTAAACCTTCCATAATGGGACTTCACCACATTGGGTTGGTGTAGATACTTCGGATCCCTATACGAGTTCACTTGCAAGTCCTCTGATTGTAGCCGCCGGCCCCAAAAGCTTTCCAAAGTGCTGCTCGTCCGCGCGGTTTCTGGGAGCAGCCCGCACTGGCAGCCACGGCGTTCTGTTGCTGGAGCTCGAAGGTTGGCGCTTCGGACGAGATACAAGCGCCTCCCGCCGACACGGGAAAGGACAGCATGCAGAAGATCACCTTGAAGACAGTGGTGTTCATGGGCTCTGCCCGCAATATCGTTCCGCCTTGGGGCGGTGACGCGCGCCTGGGCGACCGCGTGCTGAAGCATGTAACCTCATTGCTTCGCGCACGCGATGAGGCCATCGGCCAAGACCAGGTGAACCATGAGGTCACAGTCTATGACCCCGTTGAGGTCTTTGGAGCTGGCGGCGCCCTTGAAGGCGACGGACAGCTGGGCATCCCACACTTCTTCATGAAGGCAGGAACGCAGCCGAAGATGGATGAGATGGCAGCCACTATCAAGGCAGCAGATGCCAGGTTGCTGTTAAGGAACTGAAATTAATTCAGTGACGATCATATGAAATACTTCTAAACAGCAGGGCTTCATCATAATCCACATCGGTCACTTAATTTGAACTCCAACCCAGGATGGCTATGTTGTTGTCACAGCAGAGTACAACCACTCCTTGCCTCCTGCGCTGACGAGTCTCATGGGTCATTTCGGTGGATCCAACTACAAGTGCAAGCCTTCTTGCATCGTGACCTACAGCCCCGGCCCTTGGGCCGGCATGCGTGCGGCCATGGCGGCACGCCCTTTCCTCTCCGAGCTCGGCTGCATCCCAGTAAGCAAGTTGGCGGCTTTCCCCGCACCGGCAGAGCTCTTTGATGAGGAGGGTGCGCCCAAAGATCCCGAACACCGCATGCTCAAGCAGCTACCAGCCATGGTTGGCGAGCTCGAGTGGATGGCCCTTGCCATGAAGACGCTAGGTTGCGGTTAACGCATCAAAGTATCAGTGGCCACTGTAATTCAAATGTCTTGTATCATGGTAATTCAACGCTAAGCCCTACATACTTCCTGTCCTGCACAACCCCAATTAATATCATCCCCTTTATAACCCCTGTAAAGGGGACTCATATTGTGGTATCTTCATTAAGTCCCCGGCAGCAGCCCAGGAAGATGCGGGACACCGCTGGCTTGCCAAAGTGAGGGCAGGTTTCCTCCTAGTAGCTGAGTGGAGAGCCTTTGACCTTTTGGGGTCTGTGTAATCCCAGTAGAATGGGAAGTTTTAACAGTATAATTATCGTGTTATGATTAACTTTTTCCGCCAGGAAACTCAGCAACTAGGTCCTTGTCAGTCTTGAATTGGAATCATCCTTGCCGGCCTGTGGAGAAACAACTGCGCAGCTTTGCAGATGTCATCATGTGTGATGCACTCAGAACATGTCACAGCTCCATTCATCCCCTTCATTAACCCACTTACCGAGTCCTCCTGACCATCCAAGCAGTTTTTTGAGGATGCCGACATCTGAGGCTGAATCCGCTCCTTTTGGATGCCTGGAATGCTTTGGGAGAGGCATCATCGCATAATAATGGACCTATGGACTGGACTTCCTCAGGGCTTAGTTTATGTGGGTTTATGACCATGAAGTCATGAAGTAGGGGTTGTATCATGGCAGCTGGTGGGCGTGTATTGGGTTCCTTCCGATTGTTGCTGGGTGTGTGTGTGTGTGTGCATATTGTGTACATATGTATATCTATATATATATATACATATCTATGTGTGTGTATAGGCTTCGTGTCCAGTTTGGGGGACCGCTGCTTGAAATCCTGCCACATATGGGACTATGTAGGGATGACCATGGGCATCTAAACGCCGCGGGGGGAGTTTGCTTCAGGGGTACGCGGGGGGCATCTTGGATCTGGGGAGTTAGAAAAGGGGTATAATGGGTTTAGGGTTTAGGGTTAGGGTTAGGGTTTAATACGGCTTATGTAACATCCCTACATGGTAACTCCCCTCCTGTGCTTGTCCTAGAACTGGGAAGAATTTCGGAAGTTAGGCTGAATAGCACAAACCTTGCCTGACCTCAAGAACCCCTTGATGAGGGAATTCATCTTGTAGTATGTTAAGGTCATGCGCATGTTTCAGTATCAGCGGCGGGTGCACCTAGATGCATTCGTGCTAAGGTTGCAACGCGCATGCTTTGACATATAGAGCAACATGAAACCTGCACATGTTGCAAGCAGATGCAGCTTTCCACGCGACAGACCTGAAGAAGGGAATCGCCAAGATGAGGGTGTACTACTGTTGACACTATAAATCCATGATCCTAAGTACTTTACAGTGTAGTAAAGTCATGCAGGTTGTCAGCAGTGATAGGACTAGCACAAATTGGCCTCATTCGTTGGCGGGAACTGCTCAAAGAGACTTTGCCAGTTGTGATGTGCTAGGGGATCTTGGAACCTGCGACCCTCTATTGCAAGCAGTGGCAGTGGCAAAATTCCCTGGTACAGGTCTACTGGAACTTGCAGGAGGTCTCGCAAGTCCGTGCCTGAGCATGAAAGCGCAAACTCGCAGTCAGACTGAAATGCCCAAGGAACCCTGAACCCTAAAGAAAAAGCGAGCATTTGAGGAGACTAACGCTTCTCAACAAGCAGCCCTCTGAAGCTTCACTCCTGTGTAGGAAAGATTCTCCGGTATGTTTTCAGGCACTAAGCCGTAAACCTTAATACTCTAAACCCTAAGCCCTGAAACTTGAACCATAAACCTCGACCCAGTTTGCACGTATTGTCCGGATGCCTGGTCCTGTAGGGACTGCAGAGCTTTCCATGTTATTCTCCATTAACACAATTCACTTCTAGGGCCGGACTGCTCCACCCTCAGTGTTGAGAGAGCATTCGACTTGATCGGATATTCACATGCTCGACCCAGCTTGTTTTGCATCATTTTGGGTTCACAAAGAGCAGGCCTACCTCACACCTACCTCGCAAGACTTTGCCATGGATCAGGAGGTCCCCACGCATAGCAGGGACATGCAATACCCCTACCCTCCCCCAAACTAACATAGAACCTGAAAGGGGGACCTATATAGACAATGTGGACTACCCCCCGTTTAAAGGAGGCCTATGTTAGGTTCCATGTTACCTTTTTGGGGGGCATCTTTTGTGGGGAGTGTTAGTGGGAGGGGATCCTCATTAGCTATAGACGCCTTGCCGGAGAAAGGCAGCTAAGCCCTAAACCCTACATGAGCTATGCTCTAAACTCCCTAAAGGCGGGTTACATAGAGGTTTATATAGGGGACTACTATAGGGCTTATTCAGGGGGAGATAAGGAGTTTGAACAATGGCTCGAATAATGGTTCTGACTGGGTCAGGAGAGAGTGGAAAAGAAAGTGGCAACTACCTGGAAGGCCGGGAGGGGGTGCAAGTAGACGTATAACCAATAACCCCTGCATGCCACATACTAACCCCAGCTATGCTGATTCCTACTTAGTCCTCCTGGTCTATTGAAGTCTGACCTTAAGCCCCCGGCCCTTAACCCTCCAAACTCCAGACCCTAAACCCTAAATCCTAAATCCCAGACCCTAAACCCCAGACCCTGAACCCCAATTCAACAGCCTGGTAGCCCAGGCCAAACATTGCTTCGAGCAGGCACTAGAGCTTTGTGAGCCAAACCCTGCCGGCTTCCTACTACGCAGGGCTGGATCTAAGGCCTTATAGGGACTAGAGAGGGATTATGTAGGGATGATATAGGGACTATTACGGATTGAATGGGGGTTATATAGGGATCATATAGGGAGGATTATGTAGGGATTATATGGGGTAATATAGGGTTGAGTTTAGGGGGATGTTGCCCCAATAAAGGAGCATCACATGGAAAAACAAATGGAATATCAAATGGGAACTGGGATTATGAAAGGGGCCATTGAGGGCTTGGTAAGTGTTCTAAACGGAGCATTCATTCCGCTGACGGCGCTTTATACCAGCGGCAAGTAAAGTTGACTTTTCGGAACATGTGAGGCAATCGTAATGGTAGAAATTTTCTTCCTTCAGCCTGCTAAAACTTCACGTTGTTTGTTGTACGGAGCTTGATACTTAGAATAGGGTTTTGGGATATGCGCTAAACCCCCGCCCGAAACACTATATGAGCCGTAGTCTACACGTCTAGTATCCCCCTTAATAACCACTGTAGTACATAGCTCTCTTCGTCCAGACGATGGTTGATGCTTGAACTTAGATCCTTTGTACTCCATTGCGTGGGCTGTCAACATGATGGCACGTCGCTGCATGCCCAACTTCCTGGCGAGCGGTGCACAGTCCGGTTGCAAAACATACAAAACGGCTTTTAGACTATAGCTCATATAGTGCGTTAAAAATGAGACAGGCAGATGATTGGTAACTGTCTAACGGTACAGTTTTTGCATGATGGAAGGTTTAGGAGTTTGGGGTTTTAGGGTGTAGGGCTTGGAGATCCCTCCCAACTACTATAAAGGCCTTACTTGGCGACTGCCATCTCCCTGCAACAGTCGATAACTGCGGTAATAGTAAGGCGATACAAAGCTATATCATATTTGTAGAAATTTAATATGAGGGACCCTCAGAGCGACCTCGAAATGAAAGTGATAATTAAGTAGACCCTACATACAAACACAGTATGAAGCCCTGTTGAAACGCAATTTCCATTTCCTATTCCACGTTCTTGGCCATTTCATTCTCCACTAGTACGGCAACATTGGAAATTCCATATCGACATCCAATCAATCTCATAATCCAGTAAAAATATTCAATCCGCATTTCCACAGAAATATTTCACATCATATGAATGATCATGTCAGTCAAAGTGGGATGTTGCAAGAGATCATACAATACTTAGTTTTTTTTTGGAACCCTAGTAGCTTACCCAAAACAGCACACAGACTTTAAAAAGACAAGGAATGGAGATGGAATGAGCATGTTTATATGCCTACACAGACATCCTGGCAAAATGAAACCTATTAAATCAATGGTCGCATTTCAAAAACATTGGTTCTTCTCTCTTTTCCCCCTTTGTTTTAAAATCGTGAAGAATCATGCTTATAGTTTAGGCTTCTATGGCACATGATTTCATTTCACACGTGGCAAGCCTCATGTGCGACATCCGCTGGCTTTGCCGAAAGACCCCCCATTCGTTTGTGGGGTTGCCATAGACAGTCGGCCCCAGTATAGGGCCCCAAATGATTGCTATCATCCTGGGTATGGCAACCCCAAAAGGGAACCCATAATTCGGAAATCCCTTTATCATCCCTAAATATAACGCCAGCTTTGACTCGGAAGCGGAGAAGTCTTCTTGAAAAGGAGCTGGGGAAGATCTACTCAGACACGTTTCCAGATGTAGAGTTGAGCCATTTAGGTGTTTAGGGCTTAGGGTTTAAGATTTTCCGGGCTTTAGGGAGATCCACTCAATTAACAACCTGCCCCAGTACAAGCAATGCAATGCATACTCGTCCCTCCCCCTCGCCATGCATGGCCTCGAAATACGAGCCCCCCAAACCCTAAACCGCTAAACCCTAATCCCCATAAACCTTGAGAAAGCCAGCAATCTGAGAAAGTCTGGGAAGCATGTAGCCATACGCAGTTAAGCCTTGGGGTTTACATGCTTCCGGGCACTTCCTGGTCCCCATACAACAATCTAAACCCTGAACCATGAATATCTTCTTCAGGTTCCTGACCTCCAAAACCCTTTCCCAGGTGTCCCTTCGAAACCTCTCCATGACGCTGAGAGCGCTCGACAGCTGTGGGCCTAGCTGGGGCTTTCTGAGAACTTCTCCCCATATCAGTTACAGACGAAAGGTTTAGTCTAGGGTCTGGGGTCATTTGAACTACTGACTAAAGTTAGGTTTGGGGGAACTAGAAGGCGTTAGGGCGGACCTTTAAGGAATTTACTTTAGCGTTAGTCAGGGCGCATGTAGAGGGGACACCAGAATCCCTGTGCCATACCCATGTTATATTCCTGCGGTTAGGGGTTCCCCAGGATACACCTTGTGGCGAAACTCCCAGTTGAACATGGGGTGTCTCAGGCAAGGACAGACAGACGAGTTGAAAGTGTAAGGGTTGTCTCTGCGTAAGCATGGCCCACGTGGGGATGTCCGGACAATGATTTTTTTTTGTCGATCTACTTGTTTGGGGAGGTTACATGGCAGGTAGAGTCACATCTTGCCACGTAGTCCTTG